ATTGCATTTGTTTAATTATTTATGTATTAATAAAAAAAATAGATGTCATTGATCCATATAAAATAGCCTGTAGAAGGATCCTGTAGTGAGAATATGCTGAGCACAGCACCCAGAAACACACTTGATATTCGTTCTTGTATTGAAACAGTTGTGAAAACACAGTCGTCCTTCTTACCGTAATGAAATATGATTGTTGTTATGGAGAGTAAACCCCAGACAGTTTCTGTAATGTCAGGTGGATTAACTTTTCAGACACGAACGTTTAGACTACATGACGGGGTGGGGGCGAGTATCTCTGGCACTGACGCGGGACGGCCTGCCAGTTTCTTCCTTTCTTATGCACGTTTTCACACATTAAAACATTCCTACGGTTTCCTTTCGAATAAGATAATAGTTGCTTTTTTCTTTAAAAAATCATATGTTTTGGCAATTCTGAAGGCCTGATGGTGCATTCCTGTTGGTGTTTATCTGATTTTGTTACCCACGGGGAGGGAATGAACTGAAGTGCATAGGAAGTCCCCCTTCTCTGCTTGCAAAACATGGAAATTGCATACCACAACAGTATTTGGCAGCACAGACAGATCAAGGACTAGGTTAAATTGCATATTGTTATGTAACAGTAATGGGGAGGAGAGTTGGTCTCAGTCGGCAAAGTACAAATCCAGTGTGGCGGAGGTGGACGGTATATCAGTGTTACAATGCATTTGTGAGCTGTGCAAGGAATATGTATGGTAGACCTAGACATTATCCACCGGGGTTTGGCTCCAAACATGAGCTTGGCCAACCTCCCGAAGTGTCCGGCCCACCCTGAGCGTGCTATGGCCCGGAGGTCTGTTTCACAGCTTCATGTCTTGGCAGGTGCAAAAATCTGAAAAATACCAGTGTCCGGTTGCATAAAGCACCTTAAAGGTTGTATCAGCGATTTCAGGCCCAAAAAAGGCCATTCATCTAATCTTTCCTAACGATCCGCGAGCTGCCCGCCCCATAAGCAGGCCGTTGATAGACGCTGGCTTCTTCTTCAGCTCCGACTTCGACTTTCGCACAAGCGCAAAACCTCACAACACCCACCCCCTGTCGGTGATTGGTTGGAACACTATTTATTTTGGTTTTGAGTGGTTGGTGAAACCAATTGTTTCTATAGGAACCGGCTGCTGCAGTTACGCGATGAATTTACCAATCGGCGATTGGCTCTTATTTAGAAGGCGGGACTATTTAGAAGCCGCCATATTGAGTGCTGCACTTTTCCCCATTCAAAACAATACGAGCGACGCGTCTTGTGTTATTCTATAGTTTTTGGTATATCATAAGGTTTGAAAACTTCGCTCCCTAAGGGTTACACAGAGTTAGCAGGTTTAATCCAAGTCTTCTAGCGAGACACGATCGGGTGCTTTATATGATAAACAGATTTGAATTTAGGCATTATTCACATATAAATATTGATTAAATTACATACATAGCACATATTAAATATGGTCAACGGAAGCTCAAACGTGCACGTTCAATTAATGGACAGAAATGAGAGAATATTAAAAAATCTTTATTTGTGTTCCAAAGATGAACAAAGGCATCCTCATGTCATTAAGAATGACATGAGGATGAGTACATTAATACATTTTTTGTTGTTGTTGTTGAACTATCCCTTTGAGTTTCTGTCTCGTCTGATCCTTCTCTCTCATATTTGGTTTTATTTTTGGTGCACATGCATGCATGTGTCCATGGCAACAACTGAGTTTTGTTATGGCAAATGCTGGGTAATTTTATGACTGTACTAAAGCATAAAAATACCATAATATGTTTGCAAATAATTAGGAAACATGCTAAGTTCACACACTGGTTTCTCTGAAAAGCAATGCTACAGGCAGTTATTCTACTTTGAAATGTGAGTTCCGTGTCGGAATGTCTGTTTTTTGTTTTGGTCTGTGTGACTCCGCCCACTGCCAATTTACCCAATAGTATTTCGACACTCCGGGTTGCCAGTTGGCGTAAAAACACAGCGAGTTCCAGCCATGGAAGCCAGCAAACAAACTGGGACAGAAATCACAGATTCTACCCAACCTAAAAAGCCTCGGCATCCATTAAAAAGTATCTATGACCAGAGGCATTTTAAAACGCTGATACATTAGCTGATGAACAGTGTAAGGCTCATTGCTGTCCATTAATTGCGCTTGTTCCCATTGCATGTCTCAATCTGGCAACCTGAAGGTGTTTTTCATGTTAAAGGGATACTCCACCGTTTTTTCATATTAAACTATGTTATTCCCTTAACTAAGACGCGTTGATACATACCTCTCTCGTCTCAGTGTGTGCACTAAATCGCTCTGTCTTGCGGCGAAACTTTGTTAGCACTTAGCTTAGCCCAGTTCATTCATTAGGATCCAAACAGAGAAGCGACCAAACACCTCCACGTTTTCGCTATTTAAATACAGTTACACTAGTAGTGTAACTCGACCAAGAATGGTGGTTTCTGAATGGTCTCTGTTTGGATCCTAAGGAATGAACTGGGCTAAGCTAAGTGCTAACAAAGTTTCGCCGCAAGACAGAGCGATTTAGTGCACGCACTGAGACGAGAGAGGTATGTATCAACGCGTCTTAGTTAAGGGAATAACATAGTTTAATATGAAAAAACGGTGGAGTATCCCTTTAAGGCTACTTAAGGTGTTTCATGCAACCCGGCACCAGCTTCAGTACATTTACCTGATTTAAAGTAACACTATGTAGTTTTTCAACCTTCATAATATATTCCCAAGACACTTGTGATGGTACATCGACTTACAATAGGTTAAATGACACGTCTGCCATAGCCTGACGTGGTCTTTATCGCTTTTACTGGCACTATGTAACTTCGGGTTTCGGGTAGTAACCGGGGCACAAAAAGAACTACAAAATTCGACTACTTTACGGCATACGTCACTTCCTCCACCACTTCCTCAAATTGTCTGTGGCCCTTGTTGATTCCAAAGCCGGTGCTGGATAAGCAGCGAGCGTGCGCGTGCGACAGTAGGCTGCCGTAGGCTAAATTATTTACGACAACAGTAATGGACAATTCCACTTCCAACCTGTAGGGCGACCGCTGAGGAAAAGTTCTTTGGTGTTGCTTTAAAGTGGACCTATTATGCCCTTTTTCAAAACCTTGATTTTGTTTTTGAGGTCTACTAGACAAGGGTTTCATGCTTGAAAGTAAAAAAAAAAGAATAATAATTTTTTTACATTGTTGCAGCACCTCTCTTCCCAGTCCATCTGTAACACTGAATTCGGAACCGCATACTCCTCTTACTATTTCTGCCATAGAAAGATATGGTAAAAGTAGTACGAGTATATCGAATTCAGCATCTGTTTTGTTCTGGTCTCTATGAAGCCTCTCCTTCTGAAAATTTCAATGTCCTCTGATTGGTCGACTGGACCAGTGTGTTGTGATTGGTCAACGACTTCAAACGCGTCTAATTCAAAATACTAATAAAAACTAAAGGCCTAAAATACTAAAATGAAATATACACTGGCCAAGATACAACTGAAGAAACATTTCTAATTTGGTATGTTTTTTTTTTTTTTTGCTTTAAAAAAAAAGACTAATAATAGCAGCATCACTATTTTTTCATTTGTAAGTTGCTTCGGATAAAAGCGTCTGTTAAATGAATAAATGTAAATCAATAACAATAATGTACTGTAAGTAACAATGTCAGACAAAGCTAGCAAATGGCAACACTTTTTACCTGAACACAAAAGTTTCCCTAATTTAATTAATTTCAAAGATACAAAAATCAACAGTATAAAAAAAACAATAGAAGACACTGACAAAAGACACATGCACAGTCAAAAAAAAAGAGAGGAAAAAATTATGTTGAGCAGTAGACAGTATTATATGTGTGGATGAAGCTGGTCTGTGAATTTGGCAAGGTCTAGGTGTCAAGAATATCCAGAAAGAACATCCTGACCCAGAGTACCACTAACATCCTGAGAACAGAGCGCCTGATGGAAGAAAACCCTAGACACATTCCTTCACTCTCCATCAACAACAACATTAAAACTGTAGTGATACATTGACATCTACTGGCCAGTTCATAGAACAGTAGTTTTCATAGCTGTGGTAATGAACACAACTTTCTGGGCAAGTTGATACGACCAAAACTGGCCACAATTCAACACCACATGAACTTTAACATTAGATTGTTTTGTGTTTATTGTGAAATCATCTTTGTAACAGCTTAATCATAAGCTCTCATTTTCCCAAAATGAAGGGTTTTATTTTAGGATAATGACTGGCTGCTTACTCTATAAAATAAATGTGGACGTGAAACACTGATTTGTGAAACGATTTTATTATTTTACTTGCAGAGAAAGTGGATTGGACATACACAACACAAACAGATGTAGGAAACATTGGGTTCCTGGATGAATGTTCAGTAATACACTGTTGTACCAATTTCAAACAAGTATGCAAGAATACAGTATTATACATAAGAAATAAATCACATAAATGCATCTTCTATCCTCACTGACTGTATTTGATCACAAAGTATACGTTTTGTAAGCAGTTTTGTAGTTCATTGTAAACGGGTTTAAAATGCACAATCCACAGTTAGAGGGTAATATTAATATAAATTAACAATAAATGCACAACATCTTTCTTTTGTAAGCATGTGAAGATATCCATATAATGGCTGTAACATGGATAAATCTACTTGACCATGCCAAATTGTTAAAAATGTGGCTCATCTCTTTATGGCAGTTCTACAGCTTTGGTTTTTGCAGTCAATGCAATTACATTTTGTTCATTGTAATTGTCTGGAGATTTTAAAATGATTTAGTGTTTATATTGGTATACCTTTGGCATACATATTTGTAAATGTTTCATTCAAAGCCATGGTCATTAATTCATTCAAGTAATAAATGTAATAATAATAATAATAATAATAATAAATGTAAATGTAAATTTGTACCGAACAAAATTTGTTCACAATTTATAAAATTAGTGCATTTGTGGTGTGTTTTTTTTTTTTCCGGCTAAAATAGATTTCAATTGTTTTTGTCATCCAAAAACCTAAATCTTAGCTTGAGCACTTGAAGCAGATTCATCTTCGCTGTATCCCAGCTGTCTTCCCAGTCTAGAAGTCAAACAATTCACTTTAATATTTAATATTATACACAAATATTTGGAAATTATTTAAGTAGCAGTACACACTCTACAATTGTAATTTACTTGACAGAAAAAAAAGTTTATTCTGGTTATTCATATTATTAAAATATCATTAAACAATCATTTATAAATATATTTAAAATGAACTATTTAATAATTAATAAAAATACACTATCATTCAAAAGTTTGGAGTCAGTAGGGTTTTTTTAATAACACTTTTAGGTAACACTTAACTTTACAGTGTCCATGTAGTTACTGTAGTAAAAACTATAAATTACATAATAACATGCAACTAAACCAAACCCTAACCCTATAGTAAGTACATGTCTTGTTAGTGGTGCTTGCAAAGCAAATTAACTACCAATTAATTTTTGTTCTGGACAAAATTTCGGTTCGTAACTCGTCCTGCACCGCTTGTCGTAGACCCATGAATGATGTGTGCCTTAATAAAAAGAGGTGTGCTATGACTTTTATAAGCGATCGGGCGTACGAAGTTCACATGTGGGGCGAAAAACTGTGAAAAGGTCCCACAGAATTTGTGAGATGATATCTCAGGATCAGAATGACAGAGACTTGTGGGTGGGCTCATATGACTCTGCCCAGCAAGCAGCTGGGACACTGAAGACTAGAGTAATGTAATAATTGTAATAATATTTCACAATATTACTGGTTTTATCGTATTTTTGATCAAATAAATGCAGCCTTTGGCAAGCATAAGTCTTCTTTAAAAAAAAAAAATGTTTTAAATCTCACCGACCCCAAACTTTTGAATGGTACTGTATTTATAATTAATTATTTATACATAAAATTAATATTTTATAATTATTTATAAATGACATTAAATATTTACTGAACATGTATTGTGTTGTGAGACAGTGACAGCCCACCTGAACTGTTGCAGGCGAGCCGGACAGAGAAAGTAGCCTTCGCTCCAAGCACTTCTTCTGTGTCCTCAAACACTGGCTGTGGCAGATTCTGCTGTTTGAACCACTCATCTAAACGGTTTCTCATAGATACATCGTTTGCTTCTGTAAGAGGTTGAGAACTGAATGAAAATCATTAAATAATCATTTTTATAGTAATATACTTGTGTTTAGACAAGCCGGTTGATATTCAGTTGCTCTGACCTGCCTTTACCCCCAGAAGGCCCAGTATTCGTGCACTGAGATGATTCCGAGCTGCTCTCTTGGAGCTCTGGCATGAGCACTTCAGCGTATAGTCACAGAACGACAGCTGGATGTTGGCCTGTTCCACAGGCTTCAGGGAAATGACGGGGTCTTTCTGACCGGCCCCCTTCAGCATAGAGCTCAGCTGATTCTGCACCTCTTCAGTACTTTCAGCTCCAGTTAGTGAATCATAACCAAAGAGGGGTGATAGTGAACGCAAGGCATTCTGGAAAGCAACCAACTTGGCTTCACCCTCTGAGGACCCTAAAAAAAGACCACATCATATTTGAATAAAATGGCATTCGTTCAGGTATTTAATACATGCTTTTACTTTTCTGTTCTCAGTATACAGTATATATATATATATATATATATATATATATATATAGAGAGAGAGAGAGAGAGAGAGAGAGAGAGAGAGAGAGAGAGAGAGAGAGAGAGAGAGAGAGAGAGAGAGAGAGAGAGAGAGAGAGAGAGAGAGAGAGAGAGAGAGAGAGAGAACCAATCAAAAGTTTGGGGTCGGTAAGATTGTTAATGTTTTTAAAAGAAGTCTCTTTTGCTCACCAAGGCTGCATTTATTTTGGTCAACAATACAGTAAAAACAGTAATATAGTGAAATATTACAATTTAAGCCTGTGCGTTAATCCCTCCCTGACAGTGTAATATACCTTTCAAAATATTTTTTCATTTTCTTTCTCTTGGACGCACTTATTTGTCATTGACCCTGAAAATGAAGTTTTTCTTGATTCTTTGGAGTACAAACTCTTGTTTCTACAGTCTTTTTAACATCAAATAAGACACTCATACTAACCTTGTCCTGTATAGATAACTTTGTAACTTATGTTCTTCAGTGAGCAGTAAAATGGCTTTACAGAGCCTTCAAAATCTTCTTGTGGAAGAGGAAGAGAATTCTGAGAAAAAACCTGCTTCACCTTCGCACTGGATGTCTTTTCATCTTGAGTTCGAGGTAAGAAAGATATAAGCATTTGTTAGGGGACATGCATATATATTCGCACACACATTATGAGCAATACACAAAAGTAAATACACAAACGTACCTGTACTAGAATCGAAAATTGACACTGCACAGCCAAACAACAGGTAGGCTTTTCGAGTGGCTTCTTTCTTGCTGTCGTAGCCTTGTTTGTTAACATAAGTATATTTTTCCAGGTTGATTTCCACACTACATTTAAAATTCTCATTACACGTCATGTTCTCCATCTTCACATGTGGGGGCTTGAGATTATATACATTAAAAAGCTCATTGATTTCTGTAAAATACACAAAGATGTACAAGCAGATGAGAGCGCAGTTGCAAATCAGTGCACATTTTTACACTGTACCACTAGCACTCACTGGTGTCCCATTCAATAGCATATTATCTTCACCTGAACAATCAATCCTGGGCTTTTTCCTCTGTGGAGAACTGGATTCTTGAGGCTCCGGCAGCGCAGGAACAGGAACAGGAACAGGAACACGGACTGGCTCTTGTCCTGATGGGAGTTGTGCTGTTGTGGAGATGCTTTTAGACTTCAGCTCTGAACGATCTTTCTCTGCTGCCTGACCGATAGATACTGCAGAAGTAGCCAGGCCCGAGCTGATACCACTGGTCACATGCTCATCACTGATCTCTGTTTTTCTCTCTGTGTCATAAACGGGACTTTTGAGACCTAGCTTATCTAGACGCTCCTTCAGTTCACCTTTGAAGTTCTTCTCAGTGTCTGATATTGGAGCACCGTTGAGGATCCCTGACAGATGCTGCAGAGCAACTTTAGCTGCCTGTTGCTCAGCCTGTTTTTTATTGGTGGAGCCATCTAAGAAATGTAAGACATGAAAACTAAAGATCAGCAAACAATAGCTTGTAAATCAAAACACACATTTTAGTAAACAGAAAATAAATGGGCACATCTCACAGTTTAATCTGGGTCATATTTAATCTGAATATATATATATATATATATATTCATATATATAACATATCTGGACACAATATAATATTGTTTTTATTCACATTATAGGGGATGTATTAATATTCTTAATTGTCATTAAAAACACACATTTTTTAAATGAGTAAGATCTTAAAGTGCCCCTAATTCAGCCTCTCTAAACCCCTCCTTACTGAAAGCCTACTCTGCTCTGATTGGTCAGAGGGCCCAATCTGTTGTGATTGGTCTACTGCCTAAAGAGCGTGTCAGAAATGAGTATTACCATATCAGCTCCAGATCTTCCTCAGCACTTGATACACAGTGATATGAACAGAGCTAGAGCTCGACTAACTCCAACCTTGGAGAAGCTGCGAATCTGTGTGTGTGCACGTTTCGGGTATCCTTTTTACAGGACCTGGCGTTCACGAGGTTAACAACTGGTACGCAGGGGAAGTGCAATGACAACCTGACTGACAAACTGGAGCCTAGAAACCCAGATTGGTGACCTCAGTGGAAATTCTTTTTAAGTTTATCTCTGCCTTAACCAATCAGAATGATTCAACCTGACATGATGACGTATTGCTTGAGAGTATAATTGTTGCTGTAATGAGTGTGTACGCAGAGATGCCTACGAACTCTTTGCTGAGTGTGAAGCTGACTTCTGCTGATGAAACTGCAAACTATTCTTCAGTAAAGATTTTCTTCAGTCTGCATTTATTGACTCCTGGTCTTCATTCATCATATCTGGTCCTTGGGTCTTTAACTGTAAAATCCCCTACAGTGCACTTTGATCTTTGAAACTGCAGTCATTTTACATTCACAAACAGCTGTATATTACACACTGCATGGAAGGTAATATCTGACAAAGCATAATAGGGGCACTTTAAAATGGTATTAACATAATATGAAAAAAATATGTCTTTGTTTTTGGGGTGAAATATGACCTAGAAATTCACCCGAATAGTGTTAAAAAAAAAACAATAAAAGTAGAAATCACCTTTGTCATAAAAAGTGAAAGGTCCCTTGAATTTGAGTTTGCAGATAGCTGTGTTGTCATCATCAACAAACGCTTCTGTTGGCTTTTGTAAATCATTGGTGTCGAAATGATCCATGATCACTGACCTATACGTCTGACCTGTTGTAACACAAACTAAATCCGTTATGCCCTTTTGAAAATCATTTGAACATATTCTAAAATATTTGGCTCACAATAACACCAAAAAACTACATTAGCAAACTCACAACATATTTTATTTTAAGTTAAGCCTCAAGTAAGAGTGAAACACTTTACATGTGAAAATACTAGCGTATGACTTAATGTTTGGCTTTATTATCAATATTGATAATACATTTGATATCAAATCTACACTTTTTACTTTACCTTTTGCTGGAGCACTGATGCGAAATCTTTCCCATAAAACTTTATAAGCGGCTTCAGTTGCTTCTTCCTTTGAAGAGCATCTATCAGACGCAACTTCTTGATCAAGATCCACAGTCACTTTACTAAAGAAAGTGATTCCTGAAATGTCAAAACAAAAGATATTTTTTGAATCACATTTCTTTTTATTTAATTTGATTGATTCATCATGATTAATATTTTCTCTGCTGTTTTCCTGTATCCTTTTCATTTTATTTTTAAAGTCGGCATGAAATGGAAGTTGTGATGGTCTTTTCTTCTCAATTGTGGCGTGGTATATCCCAGTGAAACGGCTTCACAAACAAACGAAAAACATGGAAAAACACGGAAATCGAACCTGGTCCGAATTTTTTTATGATGGACAAAAGTTGTGGAGGCAGTGTGTAAACATGATTGACACAATGGGTCTCATTCATGAAACACGAGCAGAACGAATTTTTGTGTAAATCGTGTGTAAAGTGGTTCTGGCGTAAATTTTCAGATTCATTAAAATGTTCGTATTTTCCAAATGTTAGTTGGTACACAAGAAATCTACACCTGCTCCCAGCCACGCGTAAATAGTGCGCTTAACACCCGAACGTTTTGCTCATTAATAAGGCTGCATTTTAATTCACCTTAATCGGGTACATATTTGCACAGCATTTTGAAAAAATATTATATATAGTAATTACATACGGTTTTTCTTATTATGAGAGCCAGTAATAGCATCTGCGATGGTGGTCCTTCTCCAGTTTGAATACTATTTTTCCGAAGTGAACTAATTAGTTTTTTGCTCTCAAGCTTAATGTCGAACCATTTTCTTCTCACTTCTGGGAATGTTCGATTAACAGACGAAACTCCATTCACTGCATCTGTAATGCTGCCAAGCTTCCTTTTTTTTTAGGACCCGATACGCCACTATGTAGGCTACGCTTGAAAATAAAATGTGGCGTTTTGAATGAACTTCTGATAATAAAACTTCAATTTCTGCATCTGAGAATTTTTTTTTTTTTCGCATTCATGTCATAATATGATGCCCATATATAGTTGTCAGTCGGATTTAATGGGCGGGATTTATGGTAATTGAGAATGAACGTGCACGCGCGTCCCATTTACGACTGATTGGAATTCATTAACACACACACACATTTCACTATCACATCTGACGTTTACGAAGTATTTGTGAATCAGGAGAAGAGTTTTCGGGAAGGTCTCTTTACGCGCAAATCACTCGCATATTTACTCGTATATTTACGAATGTTTCATGAATGAGACCCATTGTGAGGTCATATTTATTTTTTAACGTGCGAGAATTTCGGACTCAGTGTGCAAGGACTTTAAGGGTGGGGTTAGGGGAGGACCTTCATGCTTACGTTTTTTCCTACAGTTCACAGCATACAATTTCATACGAAATTGCCAGCTCGTAAAATAGTTTTCGTGTTTTCCCATGAGATTGGGTTGGAAGAGAAGCCGCTGCAAAGGGGAGGGGAATTTATTTTGATTAAAGATTACAAGAGTACATGAATTGTACTTTATACTGTACAAACCCATAGGGAAATCTAAAGGGAACCTCTGGCGAATTAGTCTTCAGGATTTTGACATCATCCCTGCACCACTCTTTAGCACTAATAACTTATTTCTTATAAGCTGCTTCGTTACCTGGACAATCAATCCTGGGCTTTTTCTTCTGTGCGGCTGGAGAACTGGATTCTTGAGGCTCCGGCAGCGCAGGAACAGGAACAGGAACAGGAACAGGAACAGGAACAGGAACAGGAACACGGACTGGCTCTTGTCCTGATGGGAGTTGTGCTGTTGTGGAGATGCTTTTAGACTTCAGCTCTGAACGATCTTTCTCTGCTGCCTGACCGATAGATACTGCAGAAGTAGCCAGGCCCGAGCTGATACCACTGGTCACATGCTCATCACTGATCTCTGTTTTTTTCTCTGTGTCATAAACGGGACTTTTGAGACCCAGCTTATCTAGACGCTCCTTCAGTTCACCTTTGAAGTTCTTCTCAGTGTCTGATATTGGAGCACCGTTGAGGATCCCTGACAGATGCTGCAGAGCAACTTTAGCTGCCTGTTGCTCAGCCTGTTTTTTCTTGGTGGAGCCATCTAAGAAATGTAAGACATGAAAACTAAAGATCAGCAAACAATAGCTTGTAAATCAACACAAACCTTTAGTGAGATAAAATATTTAACCAATGACTAACAGTAGAAGTGCAATTACCTTTGTCATAAAAAGTAAAAGGGCCGATGAGTTTGAGCTTGCAAATGGTTGTGTCATCATCATTTTGAATAAAGTGTTCTGTCGGGTTTTGGAAACACTGTGTGCGGAAATATTCCATGATCAATGACCTGTATGTCCGACCTGTTGCAAAGGGAATAAAAAGCAGCTATTCAGAAAATCATTTAAACCCTAAAATACCAAAGTATTTCAGAGAATATGTGTCCAAAAACAGGTCTGGTCATGTTCAAATATTGTGCAATATAGGTTAAAATCTTTTTGTCCAGAAATGTAAAACTGAAAATAGAAGTAATATGTTATTTGGTGAATATATGTTATTTGAGTTCTTTTGTTGGGAAATACCATTAAACTCTTTTTCAGAGATATTTTAGAGGCAATCTTGCCCATTAAAGGGTTAAAACTTCACATATTGCACAAATGTTAAATGGATTTATTTTCAGAAAATGTTACATTTGGTTCACTATTCAGTATTTAATAAAAAGCTTATGCTTATAAAGTACTTTATTAGTGTTAAATTAAGTATTCATTTAGGGCTCAAAAAACAACAAAATCCTAGATTTTTTTTTTCATTGTATCTTAAGCTTAATTCTTTACCTTTTGCTGGAGCACTGATGCGAAATCTTTCCCATAAATCCTTATAAGCGGCTTCAGTTGCTTCTTCCTTTGAAGAGCATCTATCAGACGCAACGTCTTGATCAAGATCCACAGTCACTTTACTAAAGAAAGTGATTCCTGAAATGTCAAAAGACGAAATTACATAGTGATCATAGTTTCATCTCAATGCAGGACTGTGCACCGTTTGTCAATACTACAGTACAATATCTGTTTTACCTGAGGAAGTTGAGCAGGGGACCTCAGGCTGTGTGACTGAGCTTGATGATTCATCTGTGCTTTCGTCCTGTAATTTCAGCTGCTCAAGTGCAATGTATGCCACCTCCTGATGGGCGCCCTTTTTGTCATTAAACACCTTTGTGCCAATGAAAGTTTGCCCATTTACCTTCACTTCAGCCCTATAACCTGTACAATGGATATGAACTGTATGATTACTGTTGAATCTAACCTGAATGAAAGATTTCCCATTTGTTCATTACCACTTTTCCTGTAGTGTATCTAAACATATATACGTTTTATTTGTTTCAAAGGACTATTATGCATTTAATGTTACATGGACTGATCAATTTGTTACCCTGTGCTTCCTGAAACTCTGAAAAAACGGGATATTTGTCCTCTGGCCATTTCTTTGCACGACAATATTCATAAAGATGATTCTTGAATCTAAGTGGGTTGACAGGAAGAACAGGATCTGTGGATGGAGAAGCACGAAAAAATGAGACGAACTGAAATATAGTAGGACTCTTATATGTGAACAAAATTATTTAAGGTGCGTTAAAACGTGTGTGATTTGGTTTATTCATTTGTTCTGTGTATTAAAAGCATGACATCCCCTGAAAAAGAAGTGCACTTAATAGTACTGCATGTGCACTTGTAGTGTACTTCAAAAATCTGTTGTGGTTAATATATATATTTTTTAAAAGCACACTTTCATTAATGTTTTTAACACACTTAAATTCAAAGTTTGCCTTTAAAGTACTTTTTAAATATTTTTATTTAATTTTTTTGTCGTGCTTTAAAGAAGTGCACTTTTTTGATATGCTGAGTAACATATTAAAACACACGTAAAGCACTTAGTATAATTTTTAATTAAAATGGCATTAAAATATATTTTATTTTACTTAGCGGTACGTTCGGCGGTACACTTTAACCATATTTTAAAGACAATGTATATTTAGGAAATTACATAAAAGACCTATACTTAAGTGGATCAAAAAACACTTTAAAGTTCAGATAATTGCATGTTTGTATTGTTAAATTACTAAATCAAAGATAAATATTAATGGCTTATTTTCCTCTCACCATGTGTCCCCTTCTCCAGGTTCTCCACTCTATCTGCCAGGTTGTGGATTTGCTCCTCATGTTGATCTACTTTTGCCTGCATTTCTTTAAGTTTGTCGACTTCAGGGCCCAGGTTCACCAGGAGATCTTTGTTTTGGTCCAGGAAGTCCAGGAGACTCTTCATGTCCTGTGGTTTTCCCTTAACATAAAGTCATATTTTTAGAACATGAAGCAGTTCACACTTAAAAGTTCAGTGTTGATCTTTTACAACTGTACTTCAACATTTTCGTCTAGGTTCCCCTCAAAGCGTGAGATAAAGTCTTCAATCCTGTCTTTCAATGCTTGCTGCTCACGGTCCAGAACTTTCATGGTCTGAAGATCGACCTGTTGGCCGTCTACTTCACATGGGGCTTCATTGAAATTCCTGTCCAAGATGTTATTAAACTACATAGAAAAATAAAAACACTTGTTTTGGATTGAATTATGATTAATACAATTAGCCTATACTGGTAAAGAGCAACATTTATCCTTATCGCTGTTATTATTATTAAATATTAATAATGGTAAGACTGTTTTAATAATAATAATTTATCAAAATATTATTTTCCATCCACCTGTGTTATCTCCTTTTCCAAGCCTTTCAGTCGCGGGATAAGAGGTTCGAGTATCTTGGCCAGCTGCAGGACTGTATTATGATGCCTGATCATTTCCTCTTTACTCATTTTCAAGTCAGGGGAGTGCATCGCACAGTTCCGTACATTTATGACCTTAATTATTGAAAAGAAATACATGTAAAATGTGTTATCAACCACACAGTGAGATCTACATTATTTGAATATCCGAACTGATACTATAGCACATACCATAAGAGGTTTAAACCGGATAGAGGTTTCAGAGTGACTTAATGCTGAAAATGATCATTTGAAGGGAACACGAGATATTTGCATTTCAGAATACTTACATCTGTCACACTTTTCCCTGGGATGTTTTTGAAATGTTTACAGGAACTCATTAAGTTCAGGATGGCAGAGACATCAAACTGGGAAAACTGGCAATGTTTGCTGTGCCCACGTGGCATATACGCCTGCCGTGCGAAACATGCAATCGACAAAGATAAAAATGTAATGGACATTGATTTTTGTTCACTGACACTTCCCCATATGCATCAAGTCAATGCACTGTTGCAACACAATAATAATACAATGGTTATTAATGATGAAAGTAACTTACCTTGGCAACTTCCCACTTTTCTGTGGACCAGAGATGTGGCCGGCAGTTGTCCCAGTGTATACTCGCCCCATTATATTTGGCCTCAATTTCTTTCTTCCAGCATTTACACAATTCGCAGAGAGACTATGGGTAGCAGCAAAGCACAGTGTGAGAGACAGGTACAGACATTCCCAGAATCTTTGATTCTAATTGACATTTTTTTAGGCTTTATGGATGGATGGATGGATGGATGGATGTTTTGTAGTATTCCTTTGTGTTAATCCACATTTTATTTAAAATGGTGATGGAAGGATGGACGCGACAGACAGATAGATAGACAGACAGACAGACAAGTTAGATAGACAGACAGACAAACATTCTTAGACTTTTTGTAGTAGGCTATATTTCTATTTGTGGTAATCCACATTTTTTTTTAATAAGGTGACAGACAGAAAGACAGACAGACAGATAGATAGATAGATAGATAGATAGATAGATAGATAGATAGATAGATAGATAGATAGATAGATAGATAGATAGATAAACATTGTCAATGTCTACATTTTATACAGCAGTGTCTATTACATTGGGTGATTATTTGTATTTTATTTAACACCATAAAATGAAACGATAAATAAAGAAGGCTATTTTTCTATCGTTTACGTTGACTTTGCATTTACAGTTTAACTTACCGGTACCTTCTTATTCTTAAAAGCGCACGTTTTCTTACAGGTCTGTCCATTGAGCTCCGGTTTGTTTCGAAGAGAGTTGTGATAAGTTTCGGTTTCCTTTTCAATGAAGTCCTTAATGCAGTTCCTCAGTATGGAAAGACTCTCCGTTGTTTTCAACCAGTTTTTGTAGTTTTCGTCCCCGAAGCGTGTGTAAGATTGTGAGCTGCTCATGCTCGCCGATTAAAACCCATAGACAGTGTTAAAAAAAAACACAGATAGCGAGAAATGACTCTTTGTTACAGGAGAGCAGCGAAGGGGTGTGCCTCGACTGTCTTCAGCCGGTCAGCTGACTCCTCAGGTTGCCAGATCATCGAAAAACAAACGTTATGTTTTACTGTTGCACATCCTATGATAAACGGCTGTTTAACGTCTTTGTTGATGTTCGTCATGAATACTATCGTAACCGTGGTAGTATCCCCCTATGGTAGTATCAGAAGAAGCTTTCAGAAACTTCTGAAGGTATTTGGGTGTTTCTGCTAGCACGGACATTTTTGTATTATTGGTTTACCCTTTGTCCCATACTCAAAATAAATAATAAAATATGTAAAACGTAAATTATTCCATTTTTATCTAAACAGAGATTAAACCAAAAAGAACCGTTGTAGTTGTGACGTCATTTCATTACATTTTCCCCCTTCATTTTTACATGTCAGTGAAGGGAATTGAGATGAAATGGAATGACACTTGATGTTTTAAAATAAAACAAGAAAACTCAAAATAAATATCACTTGCAAGCGAAAACATATGAACAGAACTGTATTTAAAACATAGGCTACAATTTAATAATTTAATTGAATGGAGCAGCTGCTGAATAAGCAACATAAACGAGTTAGTTAATATCGCCATCTAGTGGAGATCAGAATCAGAGCGAGCTTTTATTGCCAATGAATTTGTCTTGGTGACAGCTTCCAGAACACAGAATACAAGAATATAAATACATCAAATAATACATACTTTATTGACATCAATGGTTTCTTAACATCCATAGATAGATAGATAGATAGATAGATAGATAGATAGATAGATAGATAGATAGATAGATAGATAGATAGATAGATAGATAGATAGATAGATAGATAGATAGATAGATAGATGACAGATAGATAAACAGACAGACAGATAGATAGATAGATAGATAGATAGATAGATAGATAGATAGATAGATAGATAGATAGATAGATAGATAGATAGATAGATAGATAGACAGATAGATAGACAGATAGATAGATAGATAGATAGATAGATAGATAGATAGATAGATAGATAGATAGATAGATAGATAGATAGATAGATAGATAGATAGATAGATAGATAGATAGATAGATAGATAGATAGATAGATGACAGATAGATAAACAGACAGATAGATAGATAGATAGATAGATAGATAGATAGATAGATAGATAGATAGATAGATAGACAGACAGACAGATAGACAGATAGATAGATAGATAGATAGATAGATAGATAGATAGATAGATAGATAGATAGATAGATAGATAGATAGATAGATAGATAGATAGATAGATAGATAGATAGATAGATAGATAGAGTTTAACAGCAGGCCAGGTGAGATAGATAGATAGTTTAACAGCAGGCCAGGTGGCCCCTGGCAGGGCTCCGCTTACAAACAAGATCCTCCATCTGTCTCCTTTTTTCCTCTCCTTTCTCCATTTAATTATCGAGGGAAGAACAAGGTGAACACTGCCCCTGATGGCTGTTACATAAAACAGGCATTATGAATAAAAAGTATAGCTGTGAAAAGCAATAATAATAATTGTGTTATGTGATGCTACAAGTGTGGGGATTTAGTTTCTGGCTCCAGAAGTTTTTGGTCACATGGTTTAAAGTGATAGCTCTTTATCTTGCCTTCTTAGTAATTACACCCAAATGACTATGTCGACGTGAAGTTTTTACTCTGTAATAACAGTGTAGAATGTGCTGAATCTCCATGGAAAACTGAGGTCATCATTATCTCATAAGAAAAGACTGCCTAAACATGCAGCAGCCACACTTAGCAGTGTGTTATCCTCCAAATAGAATGGTTTTGATTAGTGACAAAAAATTTCCAAATAGTTTATAGTCTGGACTGGGGAAAGCCAGACTTTCACCTTATAAAACATATCACGTTGGCTCAACTTCCAGGATTTTGTGCTGGGTTTTATTTATATAAATGATCAAGAATTCAAGAGAATACAAGATTAAAAGATTAAAAGTTACCAATTAATGATATAAAACATCCTATAAATTAGTTGTTAAATTATTTTAAAAAAATGTACTCCTTCACAAATTAGAATTATAGATCATATATATAGGCTTCTATAAAGTTTAGTATTATATTTGTACATATTCTTTTTTTATATTCATATTTTGATATATTTTATATGTAGGCAATTTACATTTTTACTTTAGATTTTGTAATCTTTTTTCCTAATAATTTTAATGTGTTTAATTTAATAAAATTGCTTTGTAGGCTACTTTCTGCAAAGACATCAATATTTCTTCAAGTTCAATATTAACACATATTTTCATTATAAAGCCATTTACTATGAGGAAAATTACGTGGAATCCTTCCACTAGAATCTTGAGTCTCTGTTAGGATGTTGCTGTAACAATAATAATCGGCTAAAGGAGCAGTAGTGATTTTGTGAATCGTCATACCTCGGCTCTAGCTAATGGATTTTTACGCTGTAGCATATTAACCTTTCAGAGGCCAGAATAGGGATCACCCGGTTTATAAAACATCAATATAGTTACCCTATCTTTAAATCACAGCATCAGCTCCGTTAAATACTATATTCTCCTTCTATCAATGACGGCGTTGTGCTCCACCCTCTGCCTCAGAAACTCCGCCTAGTGATGGGAGTCGAGTCGACTCCAAAAGAGTCGATTCCTCAACTCTTAAAAACCCTCAAGTGTCGGAGTCGACTCCAGTATAGGAATCGACTCTCGTTGTCGACTCCGTTGCTGTGTCTGAAATCGCAAGAGAGCTGTCACTTTCGCAGAAACGACTTTATAGTCACAGAGTTTTACAATACGTATAGCTCATTTACAATTAAATAACAGCCAATTACGTTAATTATACCTCCGTCCCCACTCCCCAGCTTTTACACTCCTACGGTGGGAGTCGGGAATCGGAGTCGACTCCGAAAAACAAGGAATCAAACACTCCGCCTCATCCCGTCCGCATTCTGCAGGAGGCACGGGAAAACAGGGACAGATCATTCTGCTAAACAGAGGGGTTTGGTTTCTACGTATCAATGTTTTTATTAATATTCACTCATGTTAAGACACTAAACCGAGTTTTTAGTAATTTAAATATATTTATTTCTATAACTAAATAATAACTAATGTGTATGGTTCTACAAATGAAGCTTATACCTAGCGCGACCAAATTTAATTCCGCCCTTTCCCGAAGTGCGCCTTGAACTCTACCGTCCTGCTGCCATGTTGGATTGAAGGACCGTTTTGCTTTGGGACTGAGTTCGGGATGAAAGTTTATATTATGCAGTCTGTCAAAAGTGGAAGAATTAAAGAATAAATAACCCGCAGGATTTAACGAGTCACATCTGCACCCCCCGTGCATTGAGGGCAACACCGCATTGGGTCAACTTGTAAGCGGAATTCCTTACGGGATGAACCGAGCGCAGGCCATGTTGATCTGTGATTGCACATAAAATAATCTAATACGAGACAAACGCTCGAGTTCATCCGCCTCATCCTTCAACATGAGCGGCCACCCGCCCCAGAGGAGGGTGGCTAATGTGGGCTCTCTGCTTCTGACCCCGCAGGAGAACGACTGCCTGTTCAACTACCTGGGCAGGAAATGCATCGTAAGTTGTGTTTACTCTCTCACGGCCGATCCGTGGTCCTTTAACCGCAAGTGCAAATGCAAATCACCCTGCTTTTAAAGTATCCCGAGATGAGATGCAAACGAAAGGCTGTGAGTTCTGGCAAGGGCAGTTGTCTTTTAACGCGCTTGTGATGTCCATAGGGCGCATTGGGGATATTCTCCTCCTGACTGTCAAGGGTATGAGACTCTTGTGAGTGAAATTAGTTGTATACGATATTAGTATGATTGAGAGTTTGTAATAATACATTGTGATATCAGAGTAGATGGTAATAGGCCTTTTGCTTGAGTAAAGCAATAAATCGTCGAAAAACCTAGTGAGCTGCCTACGTAGACAGCATCATAAGTGCATTCTGAGTCAGCTAAATGATGCAAATGATGCACGTGCCTGTGATGCTGAACTGTGCTGTTTATGTAGGCAGCTTACCAGTCACAGTTACTGTATGTAGACTACTGTCTCAGATGACCCTTAAACTCCACCAAATCTATCTATCTATCTATCTATCTATCTATCTATCTATCTATCTATCTATCTATCTATCTATCTATCTGTCTATCAATCACTGGGTTTAGTTGCAGTACAAATAGCAAGACTCTTTTTGCTGTGTGTCTCAAGTGATTATTCATTTATTCTCCAATAGTTAGTTAGTTTAATGATATTCAGTGATGTGTAGTAGTCGATGACCCCACTATCAGCAACTACTTCATCAATTTGCTAACAAAGAAAAGTTTGTGTTTGTAATTCTATCTTTTAGCTTTAAATGATTGACAGTGGAGATATTTAGTCTAGTCAGTCTAGTTTTTTTTCTATGTCCTACTTGAGGACCGATAGTTCCAGTGGTCCCAAGAAGTAGGCTAGCCTATTTGGAGTGGACACTTTAAAGGATAGTTCACCTAAACATGAAAATGTGATCATTTACACACCCTCAAGTTGTTCCAACCCTGTATGAGTTTATTTCTTCTGTTGAACACAAAAGAAGATATTTTGAGGAATATGGGTAATCAATCAAACATTTGACGGTAGCCGTTGACTTCCAGGAAAAAAATAACTAGCCAAAGTCAATGGCTACCGTCAACTGTCTGGTTACCAACGTTCTTTAAAATATCTTCTTTTGTGTTCAACAGAAGAAAGAAACTCATACAGGTTTGGAACAACATGATTGTTTCATCCAGGTTTGGAACAACAAACACACTTTTTGATCAAAACATTTTGCAAAGAGAAGTTTCAATTTGATAAAATCTTACGTACTGATCAAAATGAAGACACATTTTCTTTCTGGTTATCAAATGTTAGTAGAACATGTTTATAGTTAATGTGATGAACTACACACTCTTAGAAGGA